CATTAATTGAAATACTCCCATCTACTTCAATGGGTTTTGAATCTTGCTTCCCCCGTGCCCGGGAAAGTGATACTGGGGCATCTGCTGTCTGGAAGAATCAGGGCATTTCCTATACAAAATACAGTAGCCAACAAATATTGGGCTGTGCCTCCTTAAATAAACACTCACGTCTATCCAGACAGGCTTCCGAACAACTTCCCAGTTCCTGTAGGAAGCCTATTGCCCGGGACTGCCCCAAAGCAGAACCAAGCTCCTGGTTACATACACCCTGTGCTGTAGAAATGGGATCGGTGTGTCCATGCCACTACCATGCCATGCCTCATGTGACTCGGGGGAGTGTGTCAGGAGCTGAAAGTCACGAGCATTGGAGTGGCTTGCCTAACAGTGCACGTATATTGGAAGATAGAACCTGCCTCTCAGACTGATCCATTTTTTTTTTTTTACTTGGCCATAGGCAGAGTGGAAAACCAAGCTGCTCTCCACACTCATGCTGGATTACAGAGGTTTTAAGATACACGGACTTTCTTATAGAACATGGATTGGTTTCTGCTGTGAAGTGGTGAGTAACCAATCAGTGATCAGCAATAAAAGGCATTATCTGTCACACTGTGAGCTCTCACATCTGCATTTGCCTATTTTTGAACAGTAATCAGACCATGACCAAATTTCTCCATGTAGAAAAAGTCCTATAAAATGTTTAAGCAAAGGCTGCAAGTCGATCTATTTCCCCACTCCCCTAACTGTGAAATATATATAGTGCCCTAAGGATGGTCATAAAACTGTGGCAGCTGTTTGTTATTCTCCTCGTAATTATTCCGTCTTCCTTAATGTGAGACTACACAAATCAGTCCTAGAAATGCCACAGAACACCAGGGACTCCGATTTGAAAGTAGTCTGGTCTTTAGCGGCAAGGTACTCATGACATTGTGCATAGTTTTGATACTGCTAAGAAATGATCTTGTCTACATGACAGGTACAACTACACCACAAGGTGAAGGCCTGGCTGCAGCAAGAACAGGCACACCCACGCTAGCTGCAATCTAGGTCCTAGTGAGGGCTAGCTGCCCCCGTACAAGCCTGCCCAGGACCCTGGCTAAATACTCGAGTTGCTAGGCCATGCTGGGTCTGTGCCACTGCTCCTGCACTGCTATTGTTACTCGTTGCTAGCTAATGTGGGTGTACCTGCCTGCACGGCGACCAGACCTCCATATGCAGTGTGGACATACCCTAGAAAGGGTTTGGCAGTGTGGCTAGTCCAGTAAAACCTCATTGTGGGGGCACAGTTTACACTAGCAAAAGTTATTTTGCCGGTATGGCTTATTACTAGTTCCCTGAACAAAACGATCTGTAAGGAGGCAGGCTGGTTTAGTGGGTAGAGCACTGCACTGGAATGCAGGAGATCTGGGATCTATACCAATTTGTTTCACACTAGTCACTGAACAGCCGACAAAAAGGGGAGGAGACTTGCCACTACCCACCAGTCAGGCTAGATTTGAACCAGACACCTAGAAGTGCAGAACTCCTGTTCCCATTGGAAACTGTTTTCCTCCCACCCTCTCCCCCAGGAAATATTTTATAGCCCCACCATTGAGAGAAGAGGACAAGTTGCATCAGGTGTCTGGGCCCATGTGCACACACGGTGGTAGCTGGGGACGGAGATGTCTTGCAAAGGAAATCTTATGCTCAGTTTTGTTCTAGCCTATTGTATATGCAAAGCATCATCTGGGAACCGATTTTACTGGCGAGGATCATTACCATTTTTACAGGCGGGGGGAAGAGGTGGCAGATGTATGGAAACGATATGGAAATAGGTTTGCAAGGCTAATTTTGTAGCTTATTCCCTATGTGGATAGAAGAGTTTTAAATAAGCTTCCTGGGTTAGATTTGCTAAACAGCAGGGGGAGTATGAAAGCCAAAGCCCATTATTCAAGGGAAATTCCTTTTATATCTTAACATTGAATAATTGCTTTTTAAAATACAGCAAAGTGAAACGTCCTGGGGCTTCTACAGAATCCCGTCTCCACTGTGGGATCTTCAGGCCATTCTCAAAAAGATTCAGTGTAGGGAAAAAATAAATCAAGCTGTGTTGCCTCTACAGCTCCAGGGCAAATGCTCATGCTTTAAAAAGGTGCAACAACGTTATCGTTTGTAAGAAGTAGGTTAGCACAGGGAGAAGTGAGAAGGGGGACTGAATGGAATGAGAGATGGGGAAATATTGCAAATAATCAGATGGGGAAGGGGGGGGGGAAATGGGAACATTGCTTCTTCATGCACTGATATTGCTACAAAAACCAAAACACTCCTCACGCTTAATATACAGTGATGTGCTAAATGTAAGGAAGTTGATTGGGAGTGGGGAGAAAGGGCGTTTACAGACAATTTATTCCAATCCCTCACCACAGTCCAAAACAGGAATGCATTATTTAACCCTCTCAGTCTTCAGGCTTAAAATATTCTCAAACAAATCCTTAAACCAAGATCCCTTGGGAAATCAAGTCACATAATCCCAGTACAACACATCAATTGTCTAACAATCACCCTTAACACATGATATGGCAGTAAGTGTTAAATACAGTGTCAAAGTCAAACTCAGACCAAATATATATATAATTATATTTATATAAAGAGTAAAATACAGCATTTGGAACCCCAATGGAAGCAAACATTCTGTAACGTGGGGCAATACATTTAAACATTTTCTTTGCATTTGCGTTAGTTTTTTTAAATTTTTATATTTTTTTTAGAAAAAATACACGTGCAAATAACATTTTCACTGCTAAACTTTTCTAGTGTTGGAAGAAAACAGCAGAATTCAGGAAAGGAAAAAATGAGAGAGATATTGAGATCAGACATACTGTACGCTACACTTTGACGATCATCCGCTACCAGCCAAGGGTGGAGAGTTCACTGCTGGAGCTGCCCCTATGTCCATCAACCCACCAATAAGCAGAATAAAATTCTAAGTGCAGGCTACATTCCTAGAGCAGCGATTTCTCCCCAAACAATACAATTCTAGGCTAATACATCCCATATCACCAATCCTTGGGAAAGCAACAATCACAGAATTTTAGTTAGGCGATGCAACATTCAAATTCATCCCCCCTTTGGGAACCAGGATGGAGCAGAGAGTGTGCTCCCAGTTCTTGGGCCTGGCTTTCCCCCAAGTTCAGTACCACATTTGCACAATTACGGATAAGCACGTCCCACAGGAGTCCGCCCGGGGGTTAGGTACCAACAGTAATGTGTACAATTGAGATGCTTGGCAATGCCGCACACTTCAGAGCAAGGGGCTCAACCCCTGTGTATTTGCACAGATCGGAACCCTTCTCATTCCACGTTGGAGGTTTGCAATCATTCCTCGTGTGTCTCGAGAGATCTCAAAAGGGGAAAAACAGGCCAATTTGTCAAACTCTCTCTCCCAGGCTGAGCGCTGTCTTGGGGTGCTGGTCATCTCGGCTGGGGTTACTTTCCCTGACAGGCTAGTGAAGACGAGGGCCTTCATCACTTCTACTGCATCTCCAAGGTGAAATCTAAAACCAGCCTCCACAGCTTGAGCAGCACAAACCTGGAACTGACTTTGCCAAAGCCCCTTCTCCATGCGGCACAGAGGGGATTTTAGAATGGGTCTCACCGCTGCCCCAACCCCCCACTCATCACTGTATTTACTCTGGCTCAGAAACGCACGGCTCAGCCTATACCAGAGACACTGACGCACATCAAAGTCAACTCATTTCTACTTGGATCTGGAGGTTAGCGCTGGGGCGCCTGGGGAAGGAAAAGCTACGGAGCAAAGCTCATTTCTGAACCCTTAAGGCTGTCACAGTTTGTTTGTTTTTTTAGACAGGTGCTGCAGCTCCCAAGGCCAGTAATTACGGGGAGGGTTTGACTCAGCAGTTCCTTGCTACGGAGATGAATCTCACGACATTAAAATCCTCATCGCGCCAACATGACCTTGCATGGTGCTGAGGGGCAGGAGGTTACCCCCGAAGACACAGCTTTGAAGAAGAAAGGGGGTAAAGTTCATAAACTAAAACAAGTGATGGGAAAGGTCATCGGGGCTGGGGGTTTTGAGCCAGCCTAGTGCTTACATACCTATGTGTGCAACTTTAATCATGTGATGTCAGTAGGTCTAGTCACATGCTTAAAGTTTTGCTTATGGCTTGAGTGCTTTTGCTGGCCCTGGCTAGTGGAGTCTAGATCTCCCTCCAAACCAGCTGGCTGGTCCGCAGACAGTGGTCTCCTAACTTAACTTCAGCAGGGAACCAAGCCTCTCTTCCAGCAGAGCACTCTGGAGACCCTGGAGCCGAGGGGGAGTGGGGGTGGAAGGTGACTGCTCCCAATCCAACAGCAAGCAAGGAGCTGACCTTTGCGTCCATATGCTGGACAGGCACAGGAGAGGAGATACAGCCCTATGAGTCAGGCTGGCCACCTGTCATGGATGGCCACTGGATCCAGGGTGTCTGCCTCTTTTCCAAGTGGGGACAAGCACCCTGCAACGCTGGCACGACTCCCCTCTTACCCCCTCCTTGGGTGTCTCCGAGCGAGAGAGAGGGGTTATTGGGAAGCATCTGCCAAGCTTTCTGGGAGCCTGACTATCCCAGCTCTCCCGCATTCCACAGGGGAGGGGAGTCTCGGGAGCCTCGCAAGAGAGCAGTGACCAGGGCTGCTCGCCCAGTATTCCCCGGAGGTGTACTTGGCACAAAGCAGCTCTGACCTGAAAGGGCTGAGGCAGGGGATTGTGACAGTGGGCGAGTGCACTTGGCAAGTGGGCTGTGGGTGTCAAGGGAGTTAGCTAGATAGCATGGGCAAAGAGAGGCGACTCTGGGAGCTGTGGGGAACACAGAGGGCTTTGCTGCCTTGTGCTACTCAGCTGTTCCCACTTAATATTGCAAAAAAACAAAAACAAAAAAATAAAACACCCTAGAGCACGTTCTCCTTAGACTGCTCTGGGATGTCTCTCATTTGCACTTAGTTGTGGATTCTGCCTTTTAACCCAGGACCGAAGCACGGACTTTTCCTATTAACGCATGATGAACAACAAGTCTTAGTAGTAAGTAACTGACGACAACACGGACACATCAAAACTGGCATGGATCAGAAGAGGCAGATCTACTGCATCTGCAATCTGCAGGAAAAGGATCACCCGCCCCAGAGCTCATGAACACCACAATATTTGGTCGCATACCCAACTCCAAGTGCCGCTGCTTCTGACACGCCGAGGAGACTTTAGCACTTTTACAAACATCTACGTAGGACGTTTTTTTCATTTCCTGAGCATCAGTCTACGATTACTGGCTTGCTTTGGGGGCTAGGAAGAATCACACAGCATACTTAAAAATCTCAACATGACTGGGAATATTGGCAGAGAGGTCACTCACGATGTTAAATACCCTTCTATAGATTTAGGAAGTTACACTGCAGGGCCAACAAGTCAAGAGGCAGCATTAAAACAAACCTGCGACACTATGAATCTTACAGTACGTAACCGACAGCACAGAGCAGCCCCGGACAAACATCCCTTGAAACGCAGGCTCATGTAAACAGAGTTCAGCGACGGTAATACTTTTGAGGGGACACAAAGCATTGAACACACACAGCAGAATGGTCACCTGAACACCACAACACAAGCAGCATTTCATGTAGACAACTGCACGATTTCTATTGTAAATTAGCGTGTACTAGGCTGTAAATCCTTGTTTGACAGCCACCGAGCATGTGAAGGGGCTCAAAGCTTGCCTGCCTTTTGCATGTGTCTGTGCTCCACAGCCTTTAACATGGGCTTTCGACACGCCTTATATTCCCACGGGAGAAGAAATCCCATTTCCCTTGCATAAGGCTTTTCTAGAAGAAATTCCAGCATTGAGCTCTAAGGTCCCTGAGTTTTGCTACAAGGTTCCCATTTTTATCGAGCCATCTGCCCCTACCAAAAAAAAGGTTTATATAGTAAAGCCTGCGGCCTCTTTTAAAGTCACTGACATTATACCTGGATAATTCTAGTCACTCCAACCCTCTCTAAACACTTGACACCCAAGCTTCACTGACGCACGCTGCATGCCACACTGGTAACAAGGGACCCGGAAAGAACTGAAAGTCTGTGTACTCTGCTCTACTGATTACAATATATCCAGGAGGCTGGAGTCACAAGGCCAGGAATAAAATGAGTATTTACAAAAGGCCATTTCAGGATGGCTCATGAAGCTGATTGGTATGGGAGGGGTCAGGAAGGAGAACGGAGGATGATTAAATTTGTGGGAAAATAAGAAGATTAATATTTCGTTTCCACTTGGAACAAGACCAGCACGATCTGTCGCCTGGCACGCAGAAAGCCCAGAGGCCGAGTGACTCCCTAGCACCTGCACTGGAAGTGTTATTTAAAAGTACAGACAGACGTGCATCAGTCTGGTCTGGTACGTCTGAAAAACTGGTGGCTGGAAGCGGTGGTTAACAGGAAAATTAACCTGGGTTTATTTTATACTGGGGCAAGTCACAAGGACACGCCATGCTCCAATCATTTGTGGTGTGTCTCCTGCCCCCGAGTTACTCCCCCATCTGGGGGCCAGACTCTCATCCCATCTATTTCCATGTCCAAGCCTTGAACTACACTCCATGGCTCCACCAAGCAAACTGCCATGGGGGGAAGCTCTAGGGGAGTGGGCAGCTGCCATTGCTGAGCATCTCCTGGTGGGAAGGCGCCACTTGGAGGATTTTCAGAGCAATTTAGAATCTGCAAGAGGAAATGCACCATCTCTACCAACAGAACCCAAGCAAAGCAGCCCCTCTCCTCCTCTCTCCAGCTGACGGCTGTGGACCACTACAGATTCCCCTGAACAAGGCTGCCACCAGTCTATCGAGCGTACTAAGGAAGTTCCTTTATTTGCCCTCATACTGAGATGTACACACTTCACCCGCTTTCCTTGAAGCAAATACAATAATGTTCTCAAAGGGTCACCGTGGAAGAATCTTTGTATTGAAGGAGGGGGCTGGCTAGCCAGTGACTGCGTTGCTCTGACTGCAGCAGAAAGTTCTGCAGGAGTTTCTGCATGCCTGCCTATCGCCCAGACCAAGAGGGACGTTTTCAGATAGATAACAAAATGCACTTTGACACAAAAATCAGACTATCTGCGGCTCCACAATCAGTCTCCGACCCTTTCCCAGAGCGGTCCCATCTGCCCAGATTTTGTCACTAAAGAATTCTCTCCCTCTCTAGCCCCAATAATGGAAGCAATCAACGTTTCCTTTGGAAGGGCTGTGCAAACTGCCAGGGCATCAGCCCATCTCACTGCAGAACAGTAGGTCAACCCAGAGGATGGGACAGATCGCTCTGATCTCAAGGCTGGTTCTTACCGCAGCAGCTGCTCATCTGCCAGAACAAAACGCAGGGTGCAGCTGTTGTGGATAAGTTTTCAATGCACGACACACTACAAGGAGGGTACAACTCTTGATCTCTGAGCTGGGGGGGCTTAGAGTCCTGTTTTCACCTGGATTGGCCACTGGGTACCAACCTTCTAAAGTAACAAGCACGCAGTGCTACCATTTAATTCCCACCCTTTACATCCAACCCCCCACCCTGCCTACAGTATCTCTTGACCTCATCAGCTGTTGGCTACTGAAGCAGTCACATCAGGAAACAAAGTTTTCAGCAGCATGGCCAGTGCAAGGCACCTCCTGGGTGCCTGGGATACAGCAATCCTGCCCCTTCCCCGAGCCCACAAACACACAGGGATCTTGAGCAGTTACTCCATTTTACAGACAAAAACACCTCTTGGAATATTCGACTCGGACAATGTGACGGGGCTCAGGGACGAAGGAGCATCTGAAAAGGGTTGGTTTTGTTTGAGCTCCTATCTCTACGGGCTGCACGGCGCAGCGCTAAGGTTTGCTGACAATCATGCAGGTTTATTGTGGTGGTTTTACGTAGCCCATCTTCAGCTGCGGGTGGTCTCTGAGGAGGAAGAGTCGTCCTCCCACTCCGCACCCACACCCACTGCCGCGCCTCTCCGCCTCTCTCCAAACGCCGGACACGGGCCAGACGGCTATTCAGCAGCCATTTGCTCAATGTGATCAGTAAGCAGCTTGTTTTGCTCTGCAATGCAAAGAGACAATGAGATTGTGAGGCCACGGTTTATCGTTCTGATAAGATGAAAGGAGAGGGGCGGTGGTACTCGCGTGTGGGGCAGATGCTGTCCTAAGGGTGCTGGGGGCTCTTTAAATAAATCAAGGCAGTGACACAACTAGCAAGGTACCAGCATTTTTGTTTTTTATTTGGTTTAGAACAGGGGTCGGCAACGTTCGGCACGTGGCTCGCCAGGGTAAGCACCCTGGCAGGCCAGGCTAGTTTATTTACCTGCTGACGCGGCAGGTTCGATCGATCGTGGCCCCCACTGGCCGCGGTTCGCCGTCCCGGGCTATCCCTCGCCCGCGCCGCTTCTCGCTGGCCCCATTGGCCTGGGACGGCGAACCGCGGCAAGTGGGGGCCGCGATCGGCCGAACCTGCCGCGTCAGCAGGTAAATAAACTGGCCCGGCCCGCTAGGGTGCTTACCCTGGCAAGCCGCGTGCCGAACGTTGCCGACCCCTGGTTTAAAAACTACTGGATGGGGAGTTTCCCCAAGTGAGTCTTGAACTGTAAACAAACCAACGGTACACACGGCTAGATTGGGAGCTGGTGTGAAGTGGCATCTCTCCACTGTAATCGCCCTGAGCTACATTAATTGAGCCCAGCTGGGGATCCAACCCCATTGAAATCAACGACATGGTGCCCATTTGCACCAGCTGGCGATCTGGCCCTATTTAGTCCAATGAAGCTGCACCAGTTCACACCAGCAGGGAATCTGGGACCATTAACTTCACTGGCACTTTAGCAATTGACCCCATCTGGGGGTCTGGCCCCATTGACTCCAATGGCGCTGCACTCTGAATCTGACCCACCCTGTACATTAAGAAACATGCCAGGCATTTCAGACCGCGTCAGTGAAAATACGGTGAAATAGTCTGAGTTTGCCAGAGATTAGGAGGAGCCAGTGCTCTTTGCCCAGGATACTCACAGTATTTAACAGATACGCCCTCTCTTCCGCCATTGCAATTTGATTCTCCTGGCATGCGCCTGTCGCTGGGAATGGAAGCCAGCTTGGAAGTCAATTACTTCCCCACCTCTTCCCCACCAGCCATGTTCCCCTCCCTCCAGCGCACAGCCCCCGCGCCTGCCCTACCTTCATCCAGGTTGCCGATCACGGCCTGCTTCTTCAGGAAGTCGTTGCAGAGCTTCTTGCTCAGGCCGAACGCCAACATGTTGTGAGTGAAGGTGCTGGGGAAGAGGAGAGATACATGGCACGGGCACTGCCGAGAGTCACCGCGGAGCCCCCGGCCCTTCTCTCATGAGAAACCCAGGCTGGACCACACCACTCCCCACTCCCACTTCACTAACTAGCCAGTAGGGCCGGGCCTAACTGCAGCGCTCGGCTCTGGAGCGCCCCAAAAGGCAGCGGTGTTGGGATTGGGCCTCCTTTACAGTTCGGGCGTTGGAACAGGCGTCGGGGGTGTGTGTGTGTTGGGCATACCCCGCCCTTCCCATATTGCTACATGGGGCAGGGGTCCTGGTCTGGAACAGGTGAAGCCCCCTGTTCTAGAGTTCAGCGTACACCCCCTGGTGGCTGCAAAGAGCCTCTCACCTTCCCCACCAATCTGGGGGTGTATGTTGAACTCTCCCCCTTCCCCCCACCCGCTGCAGCCATCAAGGTAACCCCATTTCAGCCCCCACCTGACAAGAGTGACAAGGGCAAAGGGGAGGGTTCTTCCAATCCCAGTCCGAGCCATGGGCGAGAGGAACTTAGTGGATTTCTTCCTATCAAGGCGGGAGAATCCTTGTGTTTGCATTTAGGAGGGGGTAGGCATGAGGAAGAGGGGCTGGAAAACCCTGGGCACTAGAATGCTGATTCTGAGAATCTTTATATAGATTAAAAAAACCCCACTACAGCGTTTTCCATGAATGGACAATCTCAATACAGGAGTGACAGCATTTCCAGGACAGCGTTTGGCTCCACCACCAAAGCTGTTTAATCAAGGAAGGAAATGCCAACGGCCCAACAACCCCTTCGCTTTGGCGTCAGTCTGTTCGTCCCCTCAGACAGACTGAATTTCTGTCCTTCGTTATCAGAGAGAGACCCGACCCAAAGCCCTAAATCTGAATGCTCGGGCCCCGATCCAAGCTTCACAGCTCTGTCCCCATCTCTTTTTATTGAGATTTTGTCCATGACGACAACGGACGGGCTCCTTCTGGCCACCCAGACGCAGGCGTTATCAGTCAATTAGCGCGTGCCTTACCCAAGCTGCCCAAAAGTGATGTTCTCGTTAAACCGTAGGCTGTCGTCACGCTCCTCCTGGGTCATGTGACACCACTTCTCCCTGCAACCACAGGAACAGATCTTGTAGCAGGAAGTCCCCGTGCAGCCTCCCCTCCCCACCCTCACATCCATCCAAACCCTGCTGGCTGCCGAGACCCAGCAGCAGGCTTGTAGGAACTGTGGAGCTGATGAAGAACATATCAAGGCAGCCTGGAGGAGATCACAGGTGCAGAACACCTGCCTCCATGCCCTGCTCTCTCTCTTCTGGGCAAACGGCTGAGCCGTCCCTAGGCTGGAGCTGGCAAACACTGTAGGCATTTCCTGCAGTGGTGAGGGAAATCTGCAGTGCCTTGCTTTATTGTACACGAAAACGAGTCCCTACGCCGATGACAAAAGGGTGAGCTTGACAGCCGGGACACATCAGCATGTGCCTTCCACACGCAGCTCTGAAATCTGCCTTTAATGCCAGTTACTGGGGGTGGGTGCTGGGGGTTCACCGTCTGGAAGCAGCAGTTCCTGAAAGCAGTAGCATGAAGGTAAAGTATTCACCCACGTCTCAGGCCCAGTTTACATATCAGCCTGCGCTAGTTTAACTAAAAGGGATGGAGGGGCTTAATGGATTTATTTAAACGAGTGTAACGTCTGTGTTTAGGCCTGGTCGGCTTCTAAAAATTAGATCCACCCAGCTACATCGCTCGGGGCTGTGAAAAATTTCACGTCCTGTGCGTCAAAGCTAGTTTGCCTTAACCCCCACTGCTAACGCAGCTGGGTCGATGTAGCTACCACCTCTCGTGGAGGGAAAAACACGCTACCGTGGACGTAGGAAGTGTCTACACTCTAGCGGCACAGACGTGGGCTTAGACCAGGGCTCAGTCAAGGTTCACCCCACCTCCTAAAAAATAAGATGCAGAGAGATCTGGACTCCTGGATAACAAAAAACCAAGGGAAAAGGCGTTGGTTATGCCTCCTTTTCCATGGGCTGCAGTCACACGACTCAGGCAACTACCTTAATTACTATGCTGCGCTCCAGATTAGGCTGCATGGCATGTCACACTGGGCCATTGTGAGCGAGGTCCGAGAGGCTTTGTGGACTGGCAATCGTCAAATAGAAGGGAGCTGACCAATCAATGGAGTTTGATTCGAGGGAGTTTGAAATGAGACAACAGTCCTCCCTCCCCTTGAGGATTACGGAGGGCTCAGTACGCAATGCTAGCCATGTAGCCTGCATTCTCCGAGGAATATTTTGAGCTAGATGATACGGTCTCAACTTGCCTCCGGAGGTCTAGCACGGTCACTGAAGTTTATTGCCACTGCAACTTCACTTTCAAAATAGTAAACCTTGAAAACAGGATCTATGTTTGTTGAATTCCCATTTGGGGGAACTGGCAAAGCCTTGAAATAATGAATACTCTGAAGCGCAAGCACCATGGCAGATGATACCCAACAGCACCGGCGGATCAGCACCTTTTGGACTGTATTTTGAGCTCTTTACCCAACAAGTCTGCATCCACTCCCTCCTCTCATTAGTGAGGAACACTAAGAAAAACCGAGTGGATTGACAGATGCAATCACCTAGAATACACACGGCATTTGTGTTCTTGCCGAGCATTTCATTATCAGTGAACGCTACATTATTCCCAGCAGCTAGATGCATGTTTGACCATGAAACTAAATCAGCCTATTGTATTTCGGTCATAGCCAGCACCTTTTTTGTACGCTCCCTCTCACATATTGCCCATGAAAGGTTACTGTGTGCATTCATAACTAAAACAGGAGGAGATTGTGGGGCTCCCCATACAGATGTTTTACTAGGGGGTCTTTCACAAAGCCACTATCATGCCAGGACACAAGTCATTCTAGGTATGTTCATTACACTCATTTAATACATGCACATGGGGAAGACTAGAGGTCAGGGTTTCAGACAGCCCTCTACTGAACAGAAATCCAGTGGGGGGTTATGTACAAGGTTCAGAAGAGGATAAAGAAAAGGGAAGGAAAAAGGAGCAGGAAGAAGAAACAACAGAGGAGTGGCAAAAGGAGAATAAAAGGAACAGCGCACAAACTTCCACTGCATGTTTAACTCGCCTGCACCTAACTGGAGTTGGAGGTGCTGCTTCAACTGGAAATAGATGGTGGCACTAGGGTATCTTTTCAGCAAATTCCATAGTGGAACCCTAACTAGAACAAGTGTTAATTCCTGCTGGGACTGGTGAATAGCCGTAGTTATCTCATGTAGGGCCCAATCCAGCAAGCCCTTCCTCGTATGTTCAGTTTTTGTTAGACAGCTTTGCAAGATTGCACCTAGAAACTGCAAGGGATTTAGCTGCTTCAGTGGAGTTTGTGGGGCCAAATTCTGTGCCATACTAGAAAGTTTAGGCGTACGTTTAAAAGCACCAAGTCTGTCAGGATCAGGTTCACTATAGCAACCAATATATGCACTAAATCTGAAGGTTGCCAAGGCGGGGAAAGAAAATCAGCAAGGTGCTTTAAACGCTGGAAGCAGAACTTTACAGATCTCCCTGTCCCAGTGACAGAGGAAGCGTATTTAGGTTTTTCTGCTCTCTTCGTATATTCTTGCTGAGAGAAAACAAGATCAAAGTGACCAAGGGAGATTCATGATGCTTCTAGGTCTGTTATTCAGAAATAATGTGTTTGCAAAGGAAAAAAAATATGTCTCTACTTAAATACCTGGCTCTTTATACTGGCACAAAAGGCCACTGTAAGATCGATTTGTTTCTTCACTTAATCCCTATTAGAAAGGCATGTGGATTAAAGCTTTGACTATTATTTACAATGTACTAGGGAAAGGATATTTCTGCATAATGAGCTTCTAAAATTCTAGTTCCTCAGCAGGGCAATGCACCAGCAAGCTCAGGATGTTGGACGACAGAGAACTCCAGGTTTGAGCAGGTCCACGTCCAATTCTGGTCAGCAGTGTGATTTGTGATGCACGAGGGTTGAAATTCACCCCCCTCTGCATGCAGAGGAGCTGTACAAGGCCCTTGCATCAATTAAGTCCCATTTAGTCTAGGCCCCGTGCACGAGTAAATTTCACACCAGGCAACTAATTGAGCAGTGCTCTGCTTACACAAATTGAGTCGATTTCCTTCCCTAACAGACATTAGCTGCGCTTTCAAGAACTTATCTGTGAGCTCCAAACAGTCCTTTTTTCAGGTAGGCTTTTTTTGTTGTCACTTAAAATGATTTGTTCCAGGATCAGACATCAAGATCTAAAAAAAATTTTTTTTAAATCAAAGAATCTTTCCCCAGCCCCAAATTCCAGTCTGTTCTCGACTCTGATCCCCAGTAGATCGTTTCTTGAACTTGTAAAGCTCAAGAACATAACTCTCAATGCAACCTGCTAGCTTCCCCCCATGGGCACTGTGTTTTTTTTTTAAAACATAAGCCACGATTTAAAGAAAAATAAATAAATAAGAAGGCAAGATTTCAAACCAGCAAAACATCTTCACAACCTCAAAGCAACAGCAGCGCTGGAAACGCACTAAGGCAGGGGATTGAATATACCTTGATTCAGCACCGCACAGGAGTCAGGAACTGAACGCGAAAAAAGCAATGCTCACCAGACCACACCATTTCACAGAGTCAGTAGCAAAGGAAAAAATAAAATAAGGAAGAGAGGATAGAATGACATTCCCCCCTGTATGCTAGGAGACTCAGTTTGTGTCCAAAATCTGCCCATGAAACTGGAGCATCGCACAGCTGCCAGTGTGTGAAGTGGCACAAGAGAACAGAAGTACAAACCATCAACTGCTCTATCCATCACGGAGCTAGTTCATTACCAAGAGACCTCAATGCAGCGGCCTGTCATTAAGTTTTGTTTTAAAATCCACCAGATCGAAGGATTATGGATATAATTGCTTCCAGTTTTCTTCTAGTCTCACCGATAGCACTGTCCCCATTTCCTGCAGGTGGAGCCAGATCTGAATTTGTGCCCATTTCTCATTTGAGCAGGTGGCATTTCTGAGCCCAACCTGCATCCGAGACATTTTACCATGGTGGCAAAGTTTGGACCTGAAGTGAGTCAATGCTACTGTAAAAATGCAACAAAGTAATGCGGACAGACACACCTCTTTTCCTCTTCCTCTCCAGTGTTCCCTCTGGAGTGGCAGCAGAAACAGGGTCAACAAAGGTTACATGTTAAAGATCATGCAAGATATATGGATGGAGAAAAAGAGAAGAACAGATGAAAGAAAGAAAGTCATTATAGGCAGAGAGAAGAAAAAAGGATTTTTGTTATTTTTCTTTCCCCCTTGCAGGAAAATCGCCTTCCCAGTGATCTCAACTCTTCTCCTGTTCTTCCAAAGCAATTACCAAGTATGAAACCAAACATTTCTACTACACGCCCCCAGCCACCCTGGGGAAGGACTTTAGGCAGTTGTTGCTTTAGGGATTTTCCTCCTGCAGAGGGCTGCGAAGTGAGAGATACAAACCCAGCTCGGTGAGAAAAGGCGTTCACAAAAGCAGACTATCTCCTAGAGGCCTTTAAGAAAAGGAAGGACAGGGGAAGGTGTCTCACTGCAGGGACCTAGTGTGTCTTTCTAGCCTGGTCAGAGGGGGTCAGTGACTGCTGGGCACACTCAATGACTGCGTCTCAGGAGCAGGTGAACAGTTCAATGAGAAGCTCCCATCTATAAAGCAGGGTTGGAGTCTAACACCGAAAGGGACCAGTCTCTGGACAGAAGATGAGTTTCTCTTAACCTTTAATCCCCGAGGGCCAAACGCCAAGGTCCTTAACTCAGAAACTCCCATCAGCTTCAACGAGAGTCTGCCGCGGGGTACGTCTACACTTGGAGCTGGAGGCGTGATTCCCGGATGAGTGAAGCTGCAGCAGCACGAGCTGCAGGATGAGCTAGCCGGCTTGAGTATGTACCATGGGTCTCTGACGGGCACGTACTTGCAGTGGCTAACCCGTCCCACTGCTCACACTGCCATGGCTACCTTCTATTTTTAGCATGGTAGCTTGGTGAGAGCTAGCGTGTGTTTATCTCCTCAAGCTGAGAATTGCAACCCCAGCTCCATGTATAGACATACCTCAGTCAG